TTTACAAATTTTTATTAAATTACAGTTGTACATGATTTTTAGAACTCAGGTGCATCAACATTTGAACATTTTCAGCTTGAACCAAAATTTAGCAAATAGCTTCTTTTCTGTTTATGGGCATTAAATAAAGTAACCAAGTGCATAGGATGCCTCTGAGATTTGTGAATTTTAGGGCCCCTGGGTCAGGGCTTCTTGTACATGGTCTGAAAATAATTTAATGCTTTCAAATCTGCAATTTAGTATTAATCAACATGATGAAATAAAATTTCCAAAAAAAATGGAAGATGTGGCTGAGGGTCAGTGGTTCCTGTGGGATGGGGTGGACAACTGATAAAAAGTAGAAATGCATTTTCTCTTTGTTACTCTGATCTATCTCTGGGTATTGGTAACCAAAGTAAGCATGCCGAGTGCAAAATTATGATAAGTAATGGTGCCTCTTTCAAAATTGTGAATTTCATGGCCTCCGGATTAAACACTATTTAACATGAATCAAATTCAATTGTCATAATGTTGTTGCATGATACTCAGGTGACCTATAAGGCCACTGGGCCTCTTGATTATAAATATAATGCAAAATTGACATAAAAGTGATAAAACATTGTCAAACAGAGTTGTACTATATCAATACAACAAATTAAAAAAAAAAAAAAAGACTTCTGTAAACATCTACAAACATAGTATGGGAGGATATGGAAAAAGAGGAAGGATATATTAGGGTTCTTAACCCTTGATTGATTGTTTGTTGTTTAACGTCCCTCTCAAGAGTTTTTCACTCATATGGAAACAATACCACTTGCGGGTGGAGAGCTGCAAATTTTGTCATATGCTCGGCAATTGCAGTCTTATTAAAATTAGATGTTAGATCCGCTCACACACTTGCTATATAATTGTTATGTAGTGAGTGGATCTTACATCTATCAATGGCGATGTAAGGATCAACTCTTTATTTCGCGACTCTAAAGCAGACGCTCTAACTACTGTGTCACACGAGTGACAAGGTACTTATTGCAACCAATTAAAGGATAATACATTGTTACTAATGTGAGGCCAAAAATAAAAAAAAATATTGTTTGCAATTGCCTACTGACCCACTGAAAATGCACCTGACTCAAACTTTTTTTGCCATTTTTTAAATATTTAAATATTTTAAAATTCATTTCCATTTTATGGAAAATGTTTTCATGTTAATATCAATCTGTGTTAAAGTGTAAAGATTTTTCTTGTAAAGTAGGGCTATGAAAAGCTCTATTACTCAATGCGTAACAAATATCCAAAAGTTTAATAATAAAAAAAGAACCGCTATCTACTCACTCAAAAAATTATCAGTCCGCAACTGCAAACAATTTTTTTTTAAGCTTGGCCTGACTTACATGTACAGCAAAACTCGCTTAGTACAAACATGGATATTGCGAATTTACGGATATAGTGAAGTTATCTTCCATCCTCAACTATATAAATTTAATGAATTTCTTATACAACTATAACAACTTTCTATATATCTATTTCAGATTTATGAATGAAATACATGTGTTTAAAGTACTTGCAATTTTCTTCATTACAATCACACTGCTTATCATAAACATCACAGCATAAATGTTTCACTAAATCTGCACTAGGAACAGAATTATAAGATTCTAACAGTTTTTTTCTACGACACATCTCTATGTTCTTTACATAATCAAGCATATCAATATCTAACTTACGTAGATGTCTACTACTGTAAAAAAGTAATTCATAAGACTGTGTGCCATCCCTACCAGCATGCCCTAACTGTTGCATGAAGCCATCCAAATCTTTGGGTGGTCCATAATGAATAACATGTGTTCTTTACATAATCAAGCATATCAATATCTAACTTACGTAGATGTCTACTACTGTAAAAAAGTAATTCATAAGACTGTGTGCCATCCCTACCAGCACTCCCTAACTGTTGAATGAAGCCATCCAAATCTTTGGGTGGTCCATAATGAATAACAATTTAATACAATTTTTAGAACAATTATAGTACTACAGGTACATAGATACATTTTTACTCTTAATCACTTTCAGATTCACTTAAATTCTTTGATGTATCTGAACTATAATCCTCACTGGATTCACTTGAACTTTCTATATCTATTTCAGATTTATGAATGAAATACATGTGTTTAAAGGACTTGCAATTTTCTTCATTACAATCACACTGCTTATCACAAACATCACAGCATAAATGTTTCACTAAATCTGCACTAGGAACAGAATTATAAGATTCTAACAATTTTTTTCTACGACACATTTCTATGTTCTTTACATAATCAAGCATATCAATATCTAACTTACGTAGATGTCTACTACTGTAAAAAAGTAATTCATAAGACTGTGTGCCATCCCTACCAGCACGCCCTAACTGTTGCATGAAGCCATCCAAATCTTTGGGTGGTCCATAATGAATAACATTATTAACATTTTTATAGTTTACACCCATTCCTGCAGCACTGGTTGCAATAAGTACCCTAATATGCCCATCCTCTTTATCCATATCCTCTCTTATTTCCTCTTTAACCTGATCTGTTGTACAAGAATGAAACATTTCAATATAACTAATGTATTCATTTAAACAGACTTTGAACGCACAATACACTTCTGCACACAACTTTATGCTTGGACAAAATATAATATGTCGTGGACAATCAATAGCCTGATCCATGACCATGCTGATCAGCCAAGAAAAGGTAAAACTAATTTTCTCATTGACCTTGACCTTATTGACAAAGAGTTTAATGTTTTCCCTATCTGGACTTTCTACAATGTCATGATAATTGACAAGAGCAAGCTTCTTCCTCAGTTTTCTTCGACTTGATCTGCTGGCTGTGGCTGTGATTACAAGGGCAGGACATGATATAAGGGACCTGACTTCCCCAATCCTACCAAACCATTCCCGAAATGGCTCATCTTTACCAGAACCTTCACCCCTGTAATAAGTTATAAAATTATTAAGCACTTCAAGCATTCATAAGGACATTATTTCTTTTAAGAAATGAATTTAATTTTTCCTCTGTTCAAAATAATAGATATAAGGGAAAATAAGTCTTATTGTAAAATACTCATGTTTAGATTTACAGTGTATAGACTTTGAAAAAATCAAAATTCATATTGATAAGAAAAAGATTTCCATGCTTGAGACGATGGCTTGAACCAATTTAAACATTGTTTGTTTGCCCTCTCCTGACTAAGAGTAAAAGTATTGGGTCAGCAAGTAGGTAAAAAAATTCCCTTAGGAAATTCCAACATATTTGTTGACGGAATAAGAGGAATAACAACAGACCCATGGGCCACATTGCTCACCTGGGTAACATGGGTTATGCAGTTCTTTAACAGATTTACCCTCTGGCTATACCTATTGTGGTCCCCTACCTCTCCCCTGTCATGATTTTATCAAGTTAAAATCAACAATATCCCAGAATGCTTCCACATAGGCTTCAGCTTTCATGGCCCAGTGGTTCCTGAGAAGAAGATATTGATTTTTCCTGTATATTTCTATGTAAAACTTGGATCCCCTACTGTGGCACTGCCCTACCTGGGGGGGGGGGGGTTCATGATTTTAACAATTAGGATGCTTACACAAGAGTTTCAGCTTTCTTAAGAGGATTTTTCCAATCTATGTAAAACTTGGATTCCCTATTGTGCCCCCACCCTACCCACAGGGTCATGTTTTTATCAATTTAAATTCTCCACTATCCAAGGATGCTTCCACATAAGTTTCAGCTTACCTGGCCATATGGTTCTTGAGAAGAAGATTTTTTAATGATCCTACCCTATTTTTGAACCAAGTTTGAATAAAATCAATCTTATCAATCTAAAATCGATGTAATTAAAATTAGATGTTAGATCCGCTCGCATACTCGCTACCACTAACATCTAACCACTCGCATATACCAACATCTAACAACATCCCATAGAGAGTCAGGTCAGAGGTCAAATTCGGAACAACTCTAGACTTATTCGCTTCTATTATGTCAACAAATATGAGAGGATTTTGCCATCGACAATTTGATTGGTTGATAGAGTTTGACCTCTAATGTGACCCTCTATGGGATGTTTTCAGATTTTAGTGTAGCGAGTATGAAAGCGGATCAAAAATCTAATTTTAATTAAATTGGGTTAAAATTGACCCAGTAGTTCTTAAGAAGTCATAAATGTGAAATGTTAAGACAGACGGACGACGGACAAAATGTGATTAAAAAAGCTTACTTCGGCCTTCAGCTCAAGTGAGCTAAGAATGAATAAATAATCTTGTGTCATGGAATGTAAAGATGTTTTGAGTTGGGCCAGTTTTACTCAGTTGGTTGGGAAAGGGTGACCAAACATTTCTGTTTTAATATACCATATAATCCCTATTACCCGCCCCTATAAGCGTCCCCTTAGGACAATAGGTCTTTTTCAATTGTCAAAAATTACGGGCCCCCTGTAAAGTTATGAAAATCAACTAGAATCGATGCATAAAATTGTAGAACATGAAAATGAAACTTAACTATTATCCAATTTCTCAATGGAAAATGAATATTAATTTAGCATAATCTGGGTGGATTATCTTTACTTTAATTACAGTTAGACATTATTTTAGTGGTTCCTTTTGTATATCTTTTTTCTCAAAAGATTTAAAAGTTGTGAAGTTAAACTATGACAAAATATACCAAAATAATCGCCCCTTTTTGCAAATTTTAAGCCCCCAAGCGGTTAATAGGAATTATATGGTATGCCTTTGAGTAGATATTATTACCAATTGATCACCATGTGTGCTTCATCAACCACAAATAGTTTGAAACTTGTAGACTCAATAAGGATGCTCCTCCACATGTCGTCAGTTAAAATAGCCTCAGGGGATGTGAATACATAGGTTGTTTTGCCTGTTTCTATTGATGTCCTATCACATTCCTTGTGAATGTAATCTGCACACAACCCCAATGAATTAAGATAGGAAACCTTAAAAAATAGCAGGTGAAAGTCCTTAGAATGATATATACATATTTTTCATTTAAATGTACTTACAGATTTAACGGGCATGTAATAGGTTTGAGATTTCTTATAAAGATATGTTTCATGAATTTGCAAGTCAAATATCCCAGAACAAAACCTCCATTTAATATCAATCAAAAAATTGTTCAAGATAGCATGTTCATTTATTAGCACTGCTATACTTTGTATCCAGGGGTTTAAAAAAAAGTGGTCCGAGGTCCTGGATCTAAAGTTTATGGGAATGGATTAGCTAATTGTTACCCTTGGATAGTCCATAGGACTAGTGGTTTTGATAGGAACAATTATTTTAATTAAAGGCATTTTATATTTTTTGACTCCCTGGAATGCTTTGTGTTGCCTCAGAAATTGATTATAAATTTAAAAATGTAAAGCATTTATTTTCATGATTTTTGTACCAGTAATTTAATGACATGGACTAGTGAATTTTACTACTAGCTCAATAGCCCTTGGACCAGTGAATTTTTGGAAAAAAATCAAAACCCCTGGTATCTCAGTATAATTATGTAGTACATGCATTATATATCAACACATCATGCTAGCTGAGTGAGTGTCCAAATTTTCTGAAAATATATTTAAGAGCTAAAAACAATTGACTGAATGATTCATGGAACACAACACTTTATCATGCTGTGCTATAAATGCTCTTTTTTAAAGTTCATAATACTAAAAGCTTAAAAGACGCTAGCCTACTTGTCAATTCCGAATACTATATTAAAATGCAAATGAAGGAAATTCGGAATTTCAATAGCCTAATTTCATCTGTTCACATGAGCATGTGGTGAATGTCAACTCTTCTTTTAACGTATGCCTTTCGCATGTATATTTAGAGCATGTCTTAAGGGTATTTTACAACAAGTTTATTAAAATTGGAAGCATAAAAACTAACCTGTTCTTTCATAATGGACAACAATGGACTTATTATCAAGACTTGGCATGGTTCGGCTTGGCAAAACATAGGAAATGCTTGGTAAGTCAAAGACTTGCCACCACCGGTTCGAATGGAAAGGAAAACATCTTGACCACCCAATAGATATTTAATGGTTTCGGATTGCAAATCTGTGAAACTTTCAATGCCAAACACACGTTTTACTTCTTCCGCCATTTTGCGAGTAATGCCGACTGCGACTAACAACGCTAATTCTCATTGGACAGACTCCTTCTGGCTCCTTCTGACAGAATCCTTCAGAAGGGAATATCATTGGTTAAAAGCTTTTATGAATATTCATGAGAACGAGAGAATTTTGCCTCACGCAGCCACGGGTTTGTGGAAATAGAATGGACACAAAACCCGTGGCTTGCGACGATGTGGTTGAACAAGGAGAGAATTCTTCGTAGATCATTAAAATATTGACCAATGCGAGTAAAGCATAGTCGGATGATGAACTTTATCGCGAACTTTTAATATCCAATCACAGTGTAGGAAATATGTCTGGTATACTGTTGACGTCAGTTGTTGAATTCGATTGCGATGGAAACAAAACTTGCCACTGACTGAATATGACGTCACAATAGAGAGGAAAAAAATATATACATGAATAACAAGCGCGTAGCTGCCTATACGCAAGTTCGCAAGTGCGTACATATCATTTTCAAAGAAAAAAAGAAAAAAGAAAAGAAAGAAAGAAAAAAGAAAGAGAGAGATTTGTTCGGAGGAAAAGAAGCACTATCTGTCTTTCAAATTATTTTACGTCTTATTGTTTCAAATTTTATTCAGAATATCGTTAAAATCCAGTCTTTTATAAAATGAATACCAAAATTCTTGAGTAAGAAAATATGATTGTTGAACCAAAATTTTCAACTGTTAATCCGCGTACGTAATCCTGATTATCCGCACAAATACATGTATTTGATGAAGGTTACCCTTTAAGGATTTAAATGTATAATAGGGCATATCGACTGTTGTAAACAAGCATGGCTCTTCGTCAACACGGCTTGATAGACGCTGGCATTATATATATCATCAGAGCAGAGGAAAATAACTTAAAAGAGGAAAGAACAAATGTTAGATTGATAGAAAAGGATGATACGGTAGTTTTGTTAGAAAAATTGCTGTAAAGACATTCTTTTCAAAGTAAAAATACATACTTGGGGTTTCCCAAGTTCTAAAAGTAGCACGCATCTTTTGATGTGTAAAGAAAATGAGGTATTAGTTTTGATTTCTTTAAAAATGTAATTAATAAACAGATAGTTGCTATTTCTAGTCGTTTTCCATGAACATAGTAAAGAAACATGTGGAAGTTTGCATCTACGAGGGTTGTCCCATAAAATCGTGGACAAAGCGTTTTTCTCGAAAAGTGATGGGCGCACTAAGCTGTAAATTTCAGTAAATATGTATTTATCATATTTAAGTGCATGATAATTTTTTTTTAATAAAATATAAGCAAAAATAAAGATTTTATTATGCTTGAATGTGCACGAGGTATTGTCCTTCGGCGCACGGTCAAAAAACCAAGGTTTTATTAAAGAATACACAAGTTTGAATTCAAAATAAAAGTTTTAAATACATAAGATTTGGATTAAAATTATCCTAATTCAATTCCACAATCTATGTTTTGGTCTTTGTAAAACTTTTAAGACATTTGCTAAATTTTTGTCATTTTCCCGAGCATTCAAAATAGGAAAGTGGTAAACACAACACACGAAAAATGTCGACATTTTATGACGTTACGGCGCACCGCAGAACAGTTCAGTTTTAGTTCGATAATTGTAGTGACACCTTTAGAGATTTTAAATGACCATAGAAGAAAAAAAAGATGATAAAAATATCACCATATCTTAAGTATACACATGAAGTAGGAGTTTTCTTAGCGAAGTATTTTTGATCGAGTCCCTGGGGAGTACGAAACATACGGACAAACTCCTAATGTAATAGCAAAAGACGCTGTTACAGTAGACCGCCGATATAAGATTTTCTATTATTTGAATGATGGTGAGGATATTGTCCGTAACTTACTAATAAATCTCCAGAAGATCGCATGAGGGTACCAATTGGTTCTTCGGCTGTTTATAGAGACTAAAAAATGTGTATCAACGAATTCCTAAATTTAAGTCGGACTCATTCAATTTTATTTTGAACAAAGATAAAACGTGATGCTGTTTTAGACACTTTGACGTTAAAATCCATGCGCCGTAAGGTGATACAATACATGGCATAAAATCTCTGTATTTGTTTATTTATGCATATATTTATCTGAAATTTGCTGTGTATACTACTAAAATATGTACTAGATAATAGTGAAAATTTTAGAACGCATTGATGTTTATTTTTCTCACTAAACAACTTGTCAACGATTTTACGGGACAACCCTCGTACATGTATAATCATATTAATTCGCTAAACTAGACTGCAGTTAATTAAAGCTATGGATCGGTACTTTCGTTTGCATAAAAAAAAATCCATGCAATTCAAAAAATTCCCAAGTTTTCTCTAATAAAAAAAAAATTGTGTGAAACCATGGACATAAAAGATGTATCGTGTTGTATAACTACATGACTGTATACAAAGGTTGCGATTCCAAAATTAAGAAAAAAAATCTTCCTGGTTCTAAATTAAAGGTTTATAAATCAACCGTAACAGAGAGAAAATTAATTTAAAAAAAAGAATAAAAGGTTAAGGACTAATATATTTCTACTATTATTTTTTTTTATAAATATAGCTAGGGGAAACACATTTTGTTTTTGAATCTAGGTATTTATTTCATAGGGGAAAATTAGAAATTAGATGGAGAGGGGGGTATCATAATAAATATTTATATTAATTAAGCATTAAATTGATATTTTGGGATGTCTTCGGCCTTATAACATACCTGGCCGTGCCGACAAATTGAATACCGCGCGGTGTTATATAGTTGAAGTTTTTTTACAGTCTTCGGAATTTGCACTTCCTCTTTTTTGTGATTGGTAGAAACTGTATGATGAGAAAATTTTTAATTATTTCATTGGTTGAAATGCTGTTATAGGCAAGGGAGATAACTTTTTGATGATCTAATTTTCGTACGACTTAACAATTTTGCAAGAGTTTACCTCAATCTTAAAAAATGATGAAACGAAGAACAAAATCAGCAGCAATTAATTCTAAATACACATGTAACATGCTATTTTTTTAAATAGCAATAATCAAAAAGGACTCTAATTTCATTGTAAGTAAAGTATGATTTATATTGTTTTCAGGGTTTAAAATTTGTTATTATTTTTTTCCCCTTTCTGAAGAAGGTAACGGAATCAGACGAGATTAAACGAAAGCTCTCGGTCAGTCAAAGTTTACGGAGATGACCGAGCGACAACCGTGGTAGGGCAAATGCCAGTAAAAAACTAATTTAGAAATACAAAATCAAGAAATTAAAAAAAAAATGATAAGGCCTGATAGGTAGATCAGTTAACTGTTTAGAGTTGTTCATAGGCGCTTGGGTCAAGGATACTGTATTTTTTTCTATATAATGTATTGTCGAGGAAATTCGAACTATACTCTAACATTTTTTTTCAGTGTGCAGTGTTAATTTTTAGTTTTTTGTAAACCTTTCTGCTTCATATACACTAGAATGTCACGGAAATTCGATTTTATGCACGCTTTAAAAATGACATATCTCACTGTATACTAAAAAGAAACAAGGCTTGCAACTTCTTTTGCCCCTTTCCGTGCCCCAGACTCGATTTTTTCCTGTTAAAAGTTATATGCGCCGTTTACCAGCTGAATTACCAATCCCCATCTCTGCAAATAATTCTTATACAATGATAAAAATCCTCAGGTATAAACTTTTCATCCATCTTATATTTTTAAATAATTATTTTCTCTCCAATGTTGGCATTTTTCTCTCGTTTAATTCTGTAATCACGGAAGTCCCCGGAATTACAACTGCCAAAACCCAAAACGGGCGGACAGAAATTTATTTGACAGTTCTAAAAATCGCAAGGATCAGAGTATTTGGCGATTTAAAATGTCTAAAACTTCTTACCTAATCACTGACAATAATATGATAGTATTAACCTGTATCATTAATCAAAGGAAATTAAACTTTAACATATAGACGAAAGGGGGGGGGATGAGTCTCGTCGATCCACTTGTTCAAAAGTGTGTATTAATCAAAATCAATTATTGCGTGAAAACTTTAACGAGCAAAAAAAATTAAATGAGGAAATAAAAAAACAAAGAAAAGAAAGAAACGAAAGAAAGAAAGGCTGTCTAAACTTAAAACTGTATTTCATGAGAAAGGTGTGGGACGTTCAAGAAATATTCAATGGGCATAAACTCTCTCTCTCTCTTTCTCTCAAAAAGATACAACTATTTGGCACCAAATGTGTAAAAAGTGTGAAGGGTAGAAGATGATGATTAACTTTTGTTTCGATGAAAGAAATATACTGTGTTAGGGTACAATGTACATGTCTACAGATGCAACTTGAATCCCCCCCCCCCTTCCTCCGTCGGGCATAAAGTATTTCCGATTAAGCAACGAATCCTGGTGTAACTGGTATTTGTATTGAGCTGCATATTCAAAACTAGATTTTTTTGTAATTTTTTTTTTTTTTTTTTTTTTTTTGGTAAAAATATTTTTCATGCAATCAGATAAATTGTTTAATAAGATTTAACTGGTGAATATATTCTGGTTGCAGGCATATACACACCTTCCGCGTCTTTCAGATCAAGTCACCTGTAGTAATAGTATAGAAAAACATGCAGTTGTTGTACAAATAAACTAAGCGCAATGTTTTAATTATTCTTAAATTTACCTAATAATGTTTCGCCTAAAACACAAGTGTTTTAGATAAGGTATAAACACCCCCCTTTTGTCTATATGTTAAAGTTTAATTTCCTTTGATTAATGATACAGGTTAATACTATCATATTATTGTCAGTGATTAGGTAAGAAGTTTTAGACATTTTAAATCGCCAAATACTCTGATCCATGCGATTTTTAAAACTGTCAAATAAATTTCTGTCCGCCCGTTTTGGGTTTTGGCAGTTGTAATTCCGGGGACTTCCGTGATTACAGAATTAAACGAGAGAAAAATGCCGACATTGGAGAGAAAATAATTATTTAAAAATATAAGATGGATGAAAAGTTTATACCTGAGGATTTTTATCATTGTATAAGAATTATTTGCAGAGATGGGGATTGGTAATTCAGCTGGTAAACGGCGCATATAACTTTTAACAGGAAAAAATCGAGTCTGGGGCACGGAAAGGGGCAAAAGAAGTTGCAAGCCTTGTTTCTTTTTAGTATACAGTGAGATATGTCATTTTTAAAACGTGCATAAAATCGAATTTTGTGACATAATGACATTCTAGTGTATATATGAAGAAAAAAGGTGGACAAAAAACTAAAAATTAACACTGCACACTGAAACAAAATGCTACGAGAAAGTTCCAGTTTCCTTGACAATACATTATATAGAAAAAATACAGTATCCTTGACCCAAGCGCCTATGGAGTTGTTGCTAAAGACGGTAAGCTTTTTTAAAAAGCTCTGCTTGTAGAGATTTGAACGTCATGGATTTCTAATGGATTTCATAAAGAAAATTACACTGAATGTAAATATTTTAATTTCATATTCATGATTTTTGCAATTCCTAGTACATATGCATGAGGAAAAACATACCAGGTTTTTTTCAGCTAACATAATAACAAGATTACATGTATATGTTTTATTTCCCATAAATTGCTCTTGTACATACTGTATAAATTGTGCTTTTTTTTTCAAGGTTAAAAGGTCAAGGACATTCTTAAAAATGTCATGAGGCTTATTTATTCATGTTGCTTTATACTCTTACCAGCATATAAGCATGGCATAATCATACTAATGGTGTTGAGAATAAAATGTTAGATATTTTGGTATCAGCTAACTGATACTAAAATTGGGGGGTAGGGGTAGTATTTTTTCTAGAACATCCGTTTTTGTCAATACTTCAATAAATATAAGAATTTTTCTTCGAAAATATATAAATCTATGTATATAGCTAAAAGGAAAATGATTTAATCTGATTTACTTCTGTGAATCTCCAAGATTACAAAAAGACTTGAAATAAAGGTTTGCATGCATGCTACATGTATACAAATTTCGAACAGCTACAAACTATAGTACACGTACCTATTATCTCAAAGTATATATACCAAGTATTTTTTTATCTGTTTGTACACAGCGCACCTTGCATTTCATGTTATCTCATTTTATTATGAGTAACCATTCACATAGTGACGTGCGTATAAAGGTAAGATTTTTATTATTAAAATTCTTTTTTTCCTTGTCATAAACTTATCTGCTGGGGATACGAAAAAAATATGAGTACAAAACAGCGACACGGCGACAAGGAATTAGTCAAACAGAAATCTAAATGATTTACATGTAATCTTTATTTCCGTTGTATGTTATTAATGTAATTGTATGTAATTAATGTTATTTATAGAAAATTTCAAGATTCTATACCCTGTGAAATGAAATGATCTCCATCAATAAATCATTGAAAGGTTTTCTTACAGTTGAAGGAAATAACCTTCAAGCTACATAAACATGTATATGTAGAAAGATAAAACAGAAAACAAAATATATATTGCTTCTACAAACCGAGTACATTTTTAATATAAGATAACAGTCAAAGATAACAGAAAATAAAATCTCCCCGATAAAGTTGTCAGGAAAATACTGATAAAGATTAAACGAATAGTGAGGTATTACAATGTACTGTAAATGCATTTTATTTGGCGTGTACGATATTTAGCGGAAATTGATTTTTTAACAGGTTAGCGTAGATTTGGATTGGCGCTCTCTGAATGTGCTTTATATAAAAATATGTAAACAAGACATTTAGCGGTGTACTTGATTAAGCGGAAGATGCTTTCCGCGAAAGGCGCTAAATAGAATAAAAAGCCAAATATTTACAACTTTTACTTTCTGTATATACAAAAGCTATCATCTAATGTTTGTGAATGGGGTCACTGTTTTTAAATACTGATTCAGCAGAAAACTCTGCAGGTTCTGCAGATTGATTTTCGAGATATGAAAACAATTGTCTCTATTCTTATATTTCAGCCAATCCATTAACAATAAAAAAAGATGCAACCTCTTCTTCTTGTGTTTGTAATATCAGTTGCATCAATAAAAACAGTAAGTAATTATTATTTTAAGGAATATCTAATATATTTGTCATATTTTGGTGGAATTAAAGGTTATTCAAAATAACAGGACAATCCAAAAAGTTTAGAACCTGCGTAGAAATATATTGCAGTTAATTTTTTTTCATAATAACGGCATTTTGCACATTTATCTCAATAATTAATAATGTTGTACATAACATTTGTAATTATTTTTGGTAGAAATATATTTTTGAAAAATATTTTGTACAAGAAATATAAATTAATTATTAAAAATAAGTTATGGAAACGAATGAAATCAGCTCAGTCACATTCCCTATATAGTCCAGTAGATAAACATTAATATAGATAGTTCCGAACATTTTTAATTGACCAGCTGTATGGAAGCAATGGAATTATGTATCCATCTTCATTGTCAACGCTCAGTGAAGTTCCCAATTGTCCTAGAAATTAACATGACTGGGAAGAAGCTGCAGTTAAAGAGGATTGTAACCGAATTCAAAAAGTGACAACAAGCCCTTTGTTTATCACTGTTTAATAAACGAATGGGCGAATGCTACAGTTGACGTGTGTGCTCCAACGTAGTTTATCGCAGGTACGGAATGAGTTTTTTAATTTTACGTAAAACAGAGATATCAACGGAAGGAGTTCTTTAATTATACCAGATATTCATATATACTGGATGCTCTGTAGTTGCACTTATCTACCTTGTTTCATCAAATGTTTCATCTTAAGGATTCTGTGCAATGTACAGTTCTTCAAATGCAAGAGTTATTGACAATTTAAACTACGACTGCACCAAATACACCCCCCTTTCCCACAACGATACGATTCATCAGAGGCTTACAAATGTGAGAGAATTTTTTTTATTATTGCAGGTTAATCGTACAGCTAAATGAAATTTTGACCGTATTTAAGAATTAAAATTATCCGTATGGTCAATATTGTGAAATTATGCAATTAAAACTCTCTTATGTTTTGGTAGATGGCGTTTGCTATGACATTGCACGACCTACAACAACACAATTCATAACAAAAATCAACGTTACACAGACGAGCGTAACAGAAAGGTAATGGCTTCTGTTTAAAAAATGTTTGTTTGTTACGTTTGTCTGTTGTTTAATGCCATTCTAGGGAATGCTCCACTCATATTAAGACATGTATACTTGCAAGTCAAGAGCTGACAATCTTAACTTATACTCGGCACATTCAACAGTGAGGATCATTTTCGTGCTTGTATCTACATGTACTACATGTAGCTTCGACACAGGACCTCGGATTATAAGGTCACTGTAGGAGAGCTGAACTCAAAGTCCCAGAGTGGGATTCGAACCGCGACATAAGAACCGACTCAATATTCTGGGACTCTAGAGCAGACGCTCTATTACTGTTCCATGGCAATTGTCAACTAATTTTTCTTGATTAACGCCAAGTTGGCAATATCAATTGATGCCATATTATGGCAGAAGAATGACATTTTTAAAGTAAGAAGTATCCTTTATACGATCTCTATCTTTTGATTGTCAGCGTTCATAAATTTAATATACATGTAAGGATAAAAAGTAGAATGTGATAAATTGCCTTTGATTTTAAGTTTTACATTGGCTGTTATAATTATAACTGAAAAGTATGTTCTATATACGGTTCGTGTTAAACCGCATTTGCCTTGTTGCTTTATTATCAGTTTTTGTTTAATATACGTACATGTATCGATACATTTTATAGATCGAAATATAAGCAATGAAATACCGTAAATCTGGAAATTTTTAAGTCAATTTTATTTTGCGAATCTGGGTCAAAATGCTGTTGATTATTTTTTACGTTTCAAAATTCAAAATGACCACAAATTTGTTTACATTTTCTTATTGTTGAATTATTTTTAAGAAAAAAAAATTTGCGAATGCAACGAACTCGCAAATTTGCTAAAAAAAAATTATCTACAGCAACAATATATAGATTTACGGTAGTCACATGATTGTGAAATATGCAGGTTGTATATATGTCAATGATGGCATTTTCATATTTTGTTAACTTTATCTTTCATATTCTTCCTTGTAAAGTTCTTACATGTATGCAACAGAGTTATTATATTCTCATCAAATTGAAGTTGATAAAAATATTGTTGTAAGATAAATTGGTATTTATATTCATCTTATCCCATCGTCACGAAGTTACAGTAAATATTGTATAGCAATCGTTTTCTTTCGTTTGTGAGAGAGTTGGTTCTTAATGAAACGGAAGTGTGAAATTTGCATCGGGATCAGAATGCTATCTTTATCAATATATAAGTTTCTTGCAGCGGAATGCTCCTCCTTGTGGTGCCCTTGTTAATGTGAGATTCACATAAATTATTAATAAAAATTAGAAAGTGATAATTTCTGTAGCACAAAAGATATGATCACAGAGACAGAATACTTGACATCCACTAGTACATTCAGCAGTGATGGATTAACCACAACCCACTTTATACTTGTTACTGTTATTCCCACTGCGTTCTTCATTGTCTTATTAGTTGGATTATTATTCATTTGCAAAATCATCATGGGAAAAAAAAGAGCAAGTTTGTGTGACCTCACCTGCTAATTAATAAATATCTTATACCGGTCATCAAGCAAGCATATTAAACAAACTTACCACAAAAACAACCAAGGCAATTAATGTACCTGCTTGAAAAGGCATTTCTTTTCAATTTCGTACAATCAGTTTTAGAATTTAAAGAAGCAGATGCATAAAACAAGGGGAAGTGATTTTTTTGTTGCAAACGGGTATTTTATTGTTTTCCGTACAGCAGAGAAAATTATAACTAAACAATGCAATACGCGTAAGGACTTTTAAGCCATTTGATTTTATCAAAGTCTTTTTAAAGAAATAAATGTACATAATCATGATTTTCATTCGAATTTAGCTTACTGCGAATTAAAACATTACATTTGTACTTTTGAGTATTCATACGTATTCAAATGTCTGCACATTTATAATATTTATAATAGATTATGCATCAGAATTCTACAATTGTTATATAAAAAAAATGTTTAAAATTAACGTTATTTTTGGTCTTATTGCAGTCAGCTACTACCTTAACTCTTCATATTATTAGGTAAAGAAAATGAGATCCTTGACAAAGTAGAAAAGGAACCCTTAGATCGTGCCCTTGCAGGTAGATTGCAAAAAAAATATGCGTTATCTGTGATAATTTTATTACCGAAATGAACGATTGCTCATCATGTAACTGGTATATTTAAACAACATTAGGTAACCAGTGTAAACCCAATGGCGTTATATACTTGCTGTTTTATATGCTTTTAACGTTGTTAGTAGATTAATATGCATCTTTCGATCGAAAGTCATTTATTTTGATTTTCTTTTCATTTCAGGTGGAGTTGGTTCAATTAATATAGGAGAAAATAAGGAAATATCAAGAACTTCATAAAAAACTGAAATTGATGTAAAGAAAAGCTGGATACTGTGAAAAATATCCAATAGTGGTGTTTAGAAAAGAATTAAAGAAATGACATGCGGACTTTTGTTTATATGTTTTTGAATTCTGTAAGTAGGAAAAGTTCCCTTCCACGAATCTTTTTTTTTTTACTTTCAGTTTGTCTTACCTTCTTGCAATCAAACGAAGATGTCATCAGCTTATCAAAACTACCGTGGCTTTGCTTAATAAACAGCTTTGAATTCTTTACAAATATAAAGAGCAAGTGAAAAGGGTGGAAGTGAAAAGTTAGGAAGTTAACCCTCTGTATGATATTTCTTTTCAACTAGAAAGTAAAGAAGCTATAAATAAGTCAATAAAATAGAATTTGTCAGTCTTTTTTTGTTTAAAAAGGCCTTACATTCTAATCCTACATAGTTCAAATTTTTATAGTTATAAATATGTATGTCTAACTTATTATTGGACAAATGTATGTATGTCTAATTTATTACTGGACAAATAAAAAAAGCATTTCTGTTTGTTTTTATTTCCATTTTCTTTCCGTTGTCAAAAGGTACTTGTCATGTATGTAAAAGAAATTGGTTTTAAAAATGGATCTTGAACGCGTTTAAGAGACTCCGACCGTCAGCCAGGAAGGACAACTCTTTGATTTATAATTTAACTCAAAAAGTCTTTAAATGAAGCTTGAACATTAAATTTTTTCATGCAACAAATTTCATTATATGCCTCTCAGTGTGCTTCAAGGTTCTTTGAACTTATCAGAAAGGTCTAATTAAAAGTAGAAATTTTTATCCTGTAAAAGCATTTTTAGATACCATTGTTTATTAACATGAAATGAAAATAGAAGTGATTGATGGAGCTTTGCAAAGAACCTTGAAGCACGTTGAGAGGCATATAACAAAAGTTGTTGCATGAAAATATTTAATTTTCAAGCTTCATTTAAAGACTTTTTGAATTAAATTATAAGTTTAAGAGTTGTCTTTCCTGGCTGAAGGTCGGAGTCCTTTAAAACGAACCGAGTTTTTTTCACACCTGATTATATGTTAGACAGATATTATATCGATAGGAAGACTATATTATGGCATTGTCAAACGGTTTGATTCTTGTATTGTGAATAAAGTGAACAGAATGTAGATAATTTAACAACTACCTCTATGATTCTAATTGGTTCCGAAAGGCAGCTTACGGATTCCA